TTTCCCTGTCCTGTTGCTCTTTGCTAACAAGAGACATGGCCAGGGAAGCAAAATGTTGTCTCCTTAAAGCCCACCTGCTTCTGCAGAGGCGTCCCCTACCCTGTCTTCTGTCTGTGGTGTCCATGGGATGACTTCAGTGAGCAGAGAGGTACAGACCTGCTGCTCTTGTTGAAAAGGGCTGCTAGGGAGAAGCATGGGGCACTGATCTTAAGCATGGTTGCTGCTACCGGGTGAATGGGATCTGCTGGGGTGTGTAAGAGACAAGGGGTACCAGGACAATGGGTCAAAAAGCCCTACCTACTGTAGGAGTAGGAAGACAAGAACATTCCCTGGCTCTTCGTGAACTTGAATCAAAGTCATTGCAGATGCCACAGGAGGCTCTGGTGCAGCCTGGGAGAGGCAGAAGTACGAGAGTAGCCAGCCCAGGGCATGGCTGTCGCTGTGTCCTGGCTGTGGGCTGGTCTCACACGGGGATCTCTTTTGCAGAAGGACCAGTTTGGGATGTACGCCTTGTACAGCAAGAACAAACCCAAGTCAGACTCACTGCTGGCCAGCCATGGGAATACTTTCTTCAAGGTAAATTCCACTGCCTGCATCATGACTGCTCCTGGTGTTTGGGTACCGATCTATCTCAACAAGCCCAATTTTCCTGCTTGAGGCGTGCTCAGCACTGCCTTTGCCACCCTGGTGCAGCTCTCTGCACAAGTGTGTGTGAGGGGACAGGGTGGAGATGTGGTGAGTGCTTTGGAGAGGGCCCCAGCACACAGCAGCATTGGTCTGGTGGCCTTGCACTTTCCTGCAGAGCCAAGACAGCACCCCAGTCAGGAAAGCTGTGGGTGTCAGTGCCTGCTGGGGAGCACGGGGCACTCCATGGGAAGCTGCTGCCTTCACACTCTGTGGTGTGGCCAGTGGGACCAGGGAAGTTCTCTTCCCCCTGTCCTGGGCACTGGTGAGGCTGCAGCTCGAGTGCTGGGTTCAGTGTTGGGCCCCTGACTCTGAGAAGGACATGGAGGTGCTGGAGCGTGTCCAGAGAAGGGCAACGGAGCTGGGGAAGGGTCTGGAGCACAAGTGTGCTGAGTTCCCTTGTGGCTGAGGGAACTGGGGGTGTTGAGCCTGGAGAAAAGGAGGCTGAGGGGAGACCTTCTGGCTCTGTCCAAGTCCCTTGGAGGAGGGTGGAGAGAGGTGGGGGTGGGTGTGTTCAACCAAGGATCAAGGGACAGGACAAGAGGAAATGGGCTCCAGTTGTGGCCAGGGCAGTTGAGATGGGATGTGAGGAAGAATTTCTTTGCTGAAAGGGTTCTGAGGCATTGGAAGGGGTTGCCCAGGGCAGTGGTGGAGTCCCCATCCCTGGAGGGATTGAAGAGTGGTGTAGACACAGTGCTGAGGGACATGGGTTAGTCGGGGACTGGTCAGTGTTGCGTTCATGGTTGGACTCGATGATCTTAAAGGGCTTTTCAAATCGAGGCCATTCTGGGATTCTGTGTTTCTCAGTTCAAGCAGGTGCAGCTTGGAGATAAGATGGACCTGGCCTCCTACCTGCTGAAACCCATCCAGCGGATGAGCAAATACGCCCTGCTGCTGAAGGACCTGATCAAGGAGTGCAGCGAGGCACAAGAGCAGGAGCTGGGCTACCTCCGCGCAGCTGAGGAAATGGTGAAGTTCCAGCTCCGGCACGGCAATGACCTGCTGGCCATGGATGCCATCCGCGACTGTGACGTACGTTCCGGTGTCCTCCCCTGCCCTGGGGGCAGAGCCACGCTTCTTCCCTTCTCTAGACTTGGGGTCTTTGGACCATATGGTGGGCGTGCCCTCAGGTCCCCACCTGGTGCAGCAGAGCAAGGTCCCGTTGATCTGCTGGGACAGAGTGTGGATGCTGTTACTTGAGCTGGGTCCCAGGCACTTACTGGTGCCGTGAGGCAGCCTGGCAGCCCTTGCAGATGGTGTCCTGCAGGCTGCCTTGAGCCCTTCAATCTCTTTTGAGCTGGTGATAAGAGGGTCAGGCAGTTTGCAAGAAGGAATTCAAAATGGGCTAGGCCAAAATCAGGTAGGTGGGACCTGAAGGAGAGGCATGCAAAGTGCAGTACTGGAGGAGGAGACACCACAGGGCTCAGGCTAGAGGAAGATGGATCTGGGGCAGGAAGAACTGAGGGACTGGTCTTCTGACCCAGATGTTCTCCTGGCAGTTTGATGGGACTCCTTTCCTCTTCAGCTCTCTTCTTTTCCCCAAGAGAAGGCTCTGGCTGCTGCCTGCAGTTGCCACCCAAGAGGTGTGTCACAGGTCTGCCCAGGGTGACAGAAGAGGGTGATCTGTGGGTCATGCCCAGGAGAGACAGGCAGCTCTCCCCCGAGCTCTGCTCCAGTTGTTTCAGCCTGATGTGGTTTCTAGCAGTGCCACGCAGCCCTACCTCTTCAAGAGCCCTCCAGAGGTGACAAGTAGCTGCCCCTTCTTCACCACTTGGGCCACATCTGTATGGAACCCCTCTCCATATCTAGGCCTGGGGCTGCATGGACCTGATTCTGCTGGATTCTTACCAGGATGTTCCCTGTGTCCAGGTGAACCTGAAGGAGCAGGGGCAGCTGGTGCGGCAGGATGAGTTCACCATCTGGCTGGGCCGAAGGAAGTGCCAGCGACACGTCTTCCTCTTTGAGGACCTGATCCTGTTCAGCAAGCCCAAGAAGATTGAGGGTGGCTTTGACGTATATATCTACAAGCGCTCCTTCAAGGTAGGGGCAGCCCTGCAGCTCCCTTTTGTCCAAGAGGTGTCCATGGCTGGTTTCCCTATGGACACGTGGCTCTGGAATGGGGAGCAGGAGCACCTTCAGCAGAAGAGCTGCTGCAACCACTGCTAAGCCTTCTCCAGGCCACAGAGTGAAGCCAGAAGGGAACACTTCATACCTGGGCCCCCTCCTTGCTGAGAGGTGTGGGGCCAAGGTTGTCTGAGGGACAGGGAGTGTGAGGGAAAGGCCGGGCGTGTGTGGTGGGGAGGTGGTGCTGACTCTGGATGAAACACAGGGAATTGCCTGGGCTGTCTCTGCTCAGCTGCGTCCAGATCAGCTCCTGTCTGGACCCTCAGGCTCCTCCCTATTGGGTGTGCTGAGCTGGGGGTGCGCAGGGCACGGGCAGTTAACCCTTTCTGTTCCTGGTGGAGCCCCAGTTGATGCTTTTGCTCTCCCTTTTTCTGGCAGACTGCGGACATCGGTCTGACAGAGAACTCCGGAGACAGCGGCCTGCGCTTTGAGATCTGGTTCCGAAGGCGAAAGTCCAGTGACACCTATGTCCTCCAGGCCAGCTCAGCTGAGACTAAGCAGGCCTGGACCAGTGACATTGCCAAGATCCTGTGGCAGCAGGCAGCCCGCAATAAAGGTGTGATTCCTTCCCAGGGCGTCTGTGCCGTGAAAGGTGCGGGAGCCCTGTTCAGCTCGTGCTGTCCTGAGTAGGTTTGGAGCCTGTTCCCGGGCAGCTGTGTGCCAGCATGCAGCCTCAGGAGCATGTGCTGGGCTTGGCTGGGCATGTCCCTTCCCTGCCCCTCATCCCTTGGGAACCTGACCAGTCTAAAGCTCTGTGTGACTGTGGACACCACCTAGATTCCATCAGAGAAACGGGAGATAATTACCAGAAGGTTCCCTGCCCTGCGAGCGTGGGCTGTGCCCTGTGCTCCTGAAAGGCTCCCTGCTCTCCCCATGATCTAGGCCACCACTGGAGTGGCAGCTGTCTGGCTGAGTCCCTCTTCTCCGCCCCAGGCTTCCCGCTTGGCAGGACACTCGTAGGTGGCATGGCACTGAGCTGCTTGGCCAGAGCAGGGCATGATGGCTTGTCTATGGAGACTCCTCAAGGCTGGGGAACAAGGGGAGAGCAGGTCTAATCTCAGTAGTTTAGGAGCAGCCTGGCCCAGGAGTGCTCTGGTCTGGGACTGTGTAGTGCCCATGGGGCAGGTTGGAGTAACCTCACCACGTGGCTGTGGGTCTCTTCTCCTCCAGAAATCCGTATGCAGGAGATGGTCTCCATGGGTGTGGGCAATAAGCCCTTCCTGGATATCAAACCCAGCGAGGCAGCTATCAATGACCGTGCTATCGATTACATCATGAAGGGCAGAGGTAAGTGCTGGCCGTGCCTGCCCCCTGCTCTGCGTGAGCGAGGCAGGACGGGTGCTCAGGGCTTTTTTTTGGTGTGTTTTCTGGCAGGTGCCAGGACCAGAGCCTCCATCGCAGTGTCTCTGTTTGACCATTCCAACCCCTACAAGAGGACACAGGCGCAGCTCTCTGCTGGCAGCACCCCTGCTGCGTACAGCCCTTCCTCCTCCTCCTCCTCCCTGCTGGGACCCCTCAACCTCCACATGTACCTGGACCAGGCGCTGCTGCCAGGTGTCCTGGCCCCCCGCCGCCCCTTTGACATCGGCACCTGCATCGAGGAGGATGAGCTGGAGCACGAGACCAGCAGCCAACCATCACTGAGTACGTACGAGCCGCTCCTCCGCGCTGCGCCCGGGGTGTGTGGGCTCCCCCCACGCCCTCATTCCCCGCTCTGCCATCAGACCAGGCTCCCTGGGCCCATGGCAGTCCCTGCCCTGTGGCCAGACTGGGATAGGGAGGGTCCTGTCCTTCCCTGCCAGCTCTGTCCCAGCTGTCATGGGGGCAGTTAGCTCGGGTGCAGGGATTAGGGAAGTGCCCAGGGATCTGCCACCATCCCCGTGGCAGCCTTGGTGCCACATACTGGGGCTGCTGTGGCTTTGGAGACCAGTGCTGGTGTCTCTGCCTGCCTGATCCTCTGGTATGAGACTCTCTCTGTCCCTTGCTCTTGCCAGCCTGGTTCAGTGACCCCTTAGATTCTCCTGAGTGAACTTCCCTGGCCAGTCCATACCAACTGGCACCATCACTTGCTGTGCTTCCTGGGTTTATTTGGTTGCCTATAGCTTTAAAGAAGCCCAGACCAAAGTGTGGCTTATCTGTGGGCTTGTGTGGCCAGTGCCTCTGCAGATACGTTATCAAGTGTACATGGTCCTGTGGGCCAAATCTGCAGTCATCAGAGTGACCTCCCTCTCTTCCCCCAGCGACAGAGAGCTCAGAGTCATCGCACTGCATGTCAGGCAGCGGCTCCAGCGGCTCCGACAGCGGCTGTGTCTCCAGCATCCCACAAGAAAGCTTCTGTGAAGAGATGGGCTCACCCCCCTTCATGCCCCTGGGCTCACAACACAGCTCTGCCATGGAGGAGAAACCCAGGTTCACCAACAGCCAGTACATTTCTGCAGTAAGTGCCAACAGCCCAAATACTGTCTTCACTTTGCCTGTTCCTGCAACTGCCTCCCCGGTTCAAGCCGCTGCCTCTCGTTTGGGGACTGAAGATGCTGCTTTTGGGCTAGGAGTCACTGTGGGGAAGTGACCTTTCCTCTGGCAGAGACTTGCCACCTCTGGGGCAGGTGAAAGCCCCTCTGTTGCCAGAGCCTCCCCTGTGGTGGCCAAGATCCCCAAGGAGATGCCTGGAAAGGACCTGCAGTGCTGGAGGCTGTAATGCTGTCACGGGCTGGGGTACACAAGTAACCTCCTGGGATGGATGGATGGATGGATGGATGGATGGATGGAGCTCTGCTGCAGATCCCACCAAGCTCCTTTCCTGGGAGGTTTGGGCCCTTTTTTGGGGAGTGATGAGATGGAGGAGCAGGAGCCTGTTGCTCTGAGATGTCAGTGTCTCTCCTCTTATGTTCCTGAGAATTCTCAGCTGCTTCCCTTCCCACTAGATCATGCCCTGATGCTCTTGTCCTCTAACCCTGTACTAATGCTGGCTTCTCTCCTCTGCAGAAAGCAGGCCAGGTCACCATAAGTCCCTCGGCAATAGTGTGAGCCCCTCTGCACACGTATACCGCCTAAGGAAGCGGAGTTGTTGTAAGTAGCCCCTGAAGGGGATTTTCCAGCAGGAAAATTTCTGGGCAGATTTGTCGGTAGCTCTGAGTCAGGAGAACCTCACCCTCTACTTCTCAGTGAGAAGTTTTCCAATCTGTCCATGTGTTCCTGACCAGTCTCTGATTCATCTCGTTGGAGAAGCCCAGCTCCCACAGAGATGGCTCCTTTAGAGCTGTCACCTCACACAGCCAATCTGATGCCTCCTGGGTTTGGAGGAGCAGAAACAAAACAAACAAAATCACTTTCAGGTAGTAGAAGCTTTGAGCACCACCTAGTCATCAGTGTTCAGATGGGCTTCCTTCCTCGGAGCGCTGCCTAGCGGTCTAACCACTAATCTGTTTCTTGTTGCTATTTGCCAAAATCCTGCTCTTTGTTAGTCCCTCTGAACTGCCTTGGGGAATCCGTGGTAATTCTCCCCAAGACAGATTAATCCCACGGTTTCCTTTGAACCTCTGAAGGAAACTGCACATCACCAGGCAGAGGAACCTGCTAGGTTATGGTGGGATGTCCTGAGGGAGCTGCCAGATGTTGCTCCTGTACTTACTGATTTCTGGAGGATGATTTGTCTGCGAGGAAATCGCCGTTGGTCTGAGGAGGGATGAGCCCTGGCAAGACATGCAACCAAGCAGGGCTTCCTACGTGTGGGTGGCAGCCCTTGGAAAATCCTGTCACTCACACTAGCCTGCTCCTGGCTCAGCTTTTTCCTCTCTGGCTTTAGGATTGAGCCCCATTTTTGTGGGGAGCAGAGGGGGGTAAGTGTGGGAGAGGCAGGATTAGGGCTGGAATGGTCAAGGCGCAGCGGGGTAGATGGCTCATAGGTTTGGCACTGTGGGTGTTACAAGCACGCGGCCCCACAGCTTGTGATCTGCAGGTACAGGGGTTCATCCCCAACCAAACTGAACCAGCCATGGTTAAAATGCAAGATCTGGGGGGGCACAGACAAGACCTTTGAAGTGGCCACAGAAGCAGTGAGATCTGCTGGCCCGCTGCTGCTGGGACAGCAGCACGTAGCCTTTGGGCGAGTTCTGAGGCACAGAGGCAGCTCTCTGTGGGGGGGAAGAGCTGCCAGGCTCTTCCAGTAAAATATTCTTTCCCCACCAAAATGCACCTCTGACAAACGGTGGTTTTCAAGCATTTTGCAAAATCAGTGCTGGCTGGGACAGAGGGACCTGTGGGATCCGGCCACCCGAGGGGAGCGCAGCCCATCTAACCCATTGCACGCTGCTGTGTTCCAGGTTTGATTGCCATTTCAAACTCCCTGAGGAGCCCAGGCCTCTGACCAGCAGAAGGAGACACTCTTCACCCATGAAGATAATTTACTTTTTTTACACATAATCAGACTCTTTCAAACAGTCCAAAACCCAACCTCTGGCTGGTGGGAAGTCCCAGGAAGGTTTCTGTCAACTACACGTAATAGCTTTGGTGTTGGATGGGACCTTGGGCATTCAAAACTTGTTAGCCCTGTATTTATGAGTAATAAGTAACATAGCAGTTTGGGAAAAAAAAACCCAAACAAAAAAAAGTTAAAAAAAAAAAAGAAAGTATTATTTTTAAAGCTATGAGCTGTACAGACTTTTGTTACAAGTGACTCTGTTACTATTTGTTCTGTAAGCTGCACATTTTATAAAGTTTTCGGAAGGGCGTGAAGAGAAATCGAGGTATTTAAGAGAAGTAGTGTAACTTTCTGCTTCAGGGTTATATTGACCTGGAGCTCAAGATTTAACGTCCTTCCTTATGTTCTAAATATGTCTATCATAGCAATAATTTATTTTCTTGGCTTAACACTTCTGTTTTAATAAAAGCAATTTCATTGTTACGTTGAATTGTTTCTTCAGATGATTCTTCCAGTGCCTCAGTGCTGAGCTTCTCTCTGTCTTAACCCTCCCTCAGCTCTTCGCTCTCCCTGTGCCATCTCTGCACTAACCAACCGCCCGCTGAACCGTGTCCCACCCCAGCGTCTTCCCTGTCAGAGGGGGAAAATCCCAGGCAGCAGCACCTGGAGACTTACCTGATGCTGGTGGGAAGGTTGAGGCAGAGCAGGGAGTGACATTCCTCGTGTCACCCAGTGTGAGGACGAGGGAGCAGAGGTGAGGAGTCACAGCTCACCTCATTTCCTGCCTCTGATTTAAGCCTCTCGCCCTGTGTAGCTGCTCTCCCAGCTGCAAGTCTCTCCTCACCAGGTCAGGTTCTGGTCCCACAGGATGTGAGTGGCAAACTCCAGTGTGCCTTGTCCTGGTGGCCAGGCTCTGCCCTGGGTTTTGAGGTAACAGGGAGAGGCTGCTTATGTTGCCTTGTTGTGTTAAAAGGTGGAGAAATTTACCTAAAGACATTTCTAAGTCACCTCCTGTAATAATTCCCCATGCCTCTGACTCAGCCCCTCTCCAGGTACTTCAGTCCCACCATCGTGGTACCTTTGAGGAGCTTTGGATGGTGGTGGCATCTGAGACCAACAGGTTTTGGGTATAAGGGGTTGATTATAATGCTGAACCTTAAATGCTTGTTGTTTGAAGTAGCACGAAGTAACTGGAGGACAAACATGCCCTGTGTTCCAAGGTGGCCTCTTGCTGAGTGACACCAGAGCTCCCTGCGTGGCTGTGCCACCCTCTCTGTCTTCTTGGAGGAAATAAAAATGAGCATTTTTTTGAAACTTGCTGCCCAGCTCCTGTTTACTCCTAGTTTATGGAGTGCTGTACGTCAGGCTCCCCGGGTGGGAGAGCACTGGTGTCACATTTAGTCTGAGGAAGGAGGTGGAGCAGGAGTTTATTTCACATATAACGAGAGTTTTCTCCCGGGAGCTGCCTGGCCCGTGGCAGTGCCGTGCTGTGGTCTTGGATCTGAAACCTCCCAGCCCCCTGAGCTGCCCTCTGTGCACAGCCCGTGTTCCTTCAGCTTGGGGAATCCTGTACTGTACATTAAACACTTGTTTGTTTTTAAGAAGCTGGATGGTTTTTCAAACCTTATTCTTTCTTTTTAGACAGCACAGAGAACACAGTTTGACACCTCTGTACAAAATTGTGGGGGAAACAGTTGCACAGGGAAGGTTTTTAGAAGTTACTGTTTAAAATAATTAATGCAAGATTTTGGGGGCTGTTAAGACAGCGAGAGCTCATGTCACAAGAGGGAGAGAATTTACTAATGCAACAAGAGAAACATGAAACTTCCCGAATTTCTCAGTTTCAGAGGTTTCTGCATTGCTGGAAAAACCTTTAGTAATGTTTACCTGACACTGTTTTTTCAGGGTTTGATTGATTTGTCTAATAAAGGTTATTTTCTTTATATGAATCTTGTTGGCTTTGTATCTTGATTTCAAGATATCTGGATTTCAACCTGGGCTACAGAAGAAGAATTGGGCAGATTCAGCTCAACCACCTACATCCAGGGTTTCAAAATTGAATTTGGAGTCTGCGTAAGAAGCTCAGCTCCTGGCAGTGACTGAGGGAGCAGCAGCTTCTGAATGGTGAAGCACCTCCTGAAGCACAGTGACTGCTCATCCTGTCTCCTCCTGTGCTCAGGTGGCCTGTGGAGCTGACAGATGATCTAACGAAGAACTTGAGGAACAAATTCCCAATTGTTTTACTTTGTTGGAGGCCTTTGGTGTCCGTGATAGAGATGCTGACACCTTCCCTGCTGGGAAAGCACCAGAGAGTGGTGGAGGAGTCTCAGTTAGAGTAGCACCAGTCCTGAGGTAAAACCTCCTAGGGAGCGTCATAGCTTCACGTGTAGAAGCATCAGAGCTCCTCTAACATCCTCCTCTTGCTCTCCAGGTAGAGGAACGTGAGGTTAGACTCCTACTCTGGGATGGGGAATGGTGGGAAAGACAGTTATGATTTCTTCCTCATAGTAAAAGCTCCGACATGCTGGTAGGATTGGGCTGGTGCTGCTAGTGTGTCCCACACCTTCTTGTGGCAGGACAGTGAGGCTGGAAATCCTGATGCAAACGGCCCATAGCACTGGTATTGCACTGACTCACAGTCTTCTGGGAAGGTTTTCATGGATATATTTTGATTTTGAAATGCCTAAATGGCCTGTGAGCGGCCTCAGTAAGAATCCACTAACTTCTAGAGCTCTCGTAAAAAAAATTACGGAAGAGCAGAGCCATGCTGGGTCATCTTCTGAAGTGCTCTGCACTCAGGACTTGAAATGGCTGTGGACTTTCCAAGAGGTCTATGTTTTCACACTTTGTCTGTCCCTCTAATGAGCACAGTAAAGAAGAAAACACGCGGGTCTGCGGATTCCCCAGATCTTACAAGACTGGAGAAGACCACTGAGGCCTGGTCTTTGGTACCACCCAGTGCTAACTCCTGTTTTAACAGCAAATTATCTCTTTGAAAAGCATCCAACCTTCTCTTT